AGGAGAATTGTATATATAGCTCGGTGTATGTTTGAGTCGTTGTGTTTTGAAGACAAGGAATAAATCTGGTATTTAACCAGACCTTTGAGATCCTAAAAGTGGATTTTGTGTGTACTTGATTTATAGTAGGCCTATTCAGCTTCATATCACCCAACCGTAACAATCGCTTATGAATTTTTCCGGAATGCCATGTCTTGCAAATATCGATTTTAGTTTGCAAATCACATCTTTAGCAGTCTTGTTGCATAGCGTAACAACCTCCGGATACTTTGAATAATAGTCCACAACGATTAAGTGATCATTACCAGCGTAATGAAAAATATCAGTGCTGACCTTATTAAACGGTTCCTTGGGCAACTCATGCGGAATCATTGGCTAACGCTGGTTCTTCCTTTTGAATTTTGCGCATGCAGAACATTTTGATATCAGGGACTCAATATCAGGCCAGTACAACAGCTCTCTGGCCCTGACCTTCGACTTCTCCATGCCCAAATGACCATCATGAATACGATTAAGCATGAACTCTCGTTGGGTAGCAGATACTATCAATTTGTGACCCATAAACAAAAGTCTGTCGTGCTCGTAGATTTCATCGGCCAGAACTTTCTTATTTCAACTGGTACTAGCTTTCGACGATTGGGCCAGCCAATATGCCACTGTTTAGATAGTTGCTGTAAAGTATCATCTGACACAGTGGCTTGTCGGGTTTCCTCTATTCTAGGTTTGCTCATGCTCAATAGCTCATCCACTGAATGGACATGGTACTGCAACATCTAATGCTGCGGTTCTTCCACGCTATCTGGTACTGCTCTACTTACCACGTCTGCAATATACATTTCTTTTCCAGGAACGTACGTAACATCAATGACATCGGACTCGCTTTATGAATTGGCTTTCGAGTGATTGACTCGAGTGGCTTGTGGTCGGATTGAACCGTCACCTTGCGTCCGTAAACATAATGATTGAATTTGTCGAGCGAACAACAGATAGTTAACATTTCTTTCTTGATTTGAAAATAATTTTTCTTGGCTGACGTTAGCGTTCGTGAACTATAGCATGGCTGTCTTGCATTAAAACACTCTGGAGTCCAAACGAAGATGCGTCGCACTGAATCACAACATCTTTGTGCGGATCAAAGT